TGTTTGTGGTGGTGCGAGATTAGTTCAGCATAGTCAGAAGTCTGAATAGAGGAGTAGACGGGATCGCCAAGTGAAATGCCGACCCTGGGACCTCAGACGCTGAGCTTCAGTACAGCGCGACTTCATTGACGTTTCTCATGGACCAAGATGTGGATATCTGGGGAAGTGTTCACTGTATCGGTACATGGGTTATAGTGGCTATGAACGTCCAATCTAATGTTCTGCAGAGACCTAAGATTGTAGTCACAGAAGCGCTAGTCAAAGGTGGGCATGCTTGTACCTTTGTTGGCATAAAGGCGGACTGCATGACTTGGTCACCTCCCTAAATTTGGTTGGAACTACGTTTGCCTCAGCCACGACATCTGCTATGCAGGCATTTTTGAATGCATTGTTAATAACGTACAGAAGATAGGTGTTTTCGTTCGCCCTATTTACGTTACTCTCCGTTATTTCCAAACTCAATCATTAGCTTGTCTAATTATATGATAGGCTCCGGGGGGTTACGCAACCCTGGCTTGTTTACCATATTGGCGGGGACACCGAAGATAATGGTCAATAGTAGCATAATCCTTGCTCTAAGGAGACAACACTTGAGCGATGTACTTTAGTCATAGCAACCTTCGCTAGATGTCTCCTCGCTAGGTTACCAAATCTGCTGGTTTTTGCAAAGTTGGGGTGTTAGCGAGGGCTTTTTTAAGCAGCATGGCAAGTGCACCGCAATAGATTGGTATGATATTTACTCTACTGGTAGAATAATGCAATTCAGCTGGATTCGAGAACGGTTTACAACTGCCTCAACGATCTGAGCAGTCAGCTAGTCAGTTGTGAGGGATGTCTAAGCAACTCCTGAAAAATATTGTAGCTGGAGTTTGTGTGACATCGCGACAACTATCGTTATGTCTTGAGGAAGTCAGATTAAAAATATCGGAAATTTGTGGATTTTAAGTTGTTCCCCGAACTAAGTGCTTGTTTTGCAGGCGTTTTGTTGCCAGACTAGGCAACATCATCAGTGCTGCTTCATAGGCCTGGTTCGCAGTGCTTCGTGAGCGACGTCGAGGTCCAAGTGGTTATTGATCGAGTTCTGCTTTGAATGTCGGGCTTCAGTGAACTCACGTGTCTGCCGCGTTCTGGCCCTTCCGAGGGTGTTGGCGTGCTCCAGGTCAGATTGCTGGTTCTCGGCATCCATACGCACAGACAGCAGGGAGTTCTGAACGGAGCGATGAAAGATTAGGCTGTGTTCTTGTAGCCTTTGTTAAGCTTTTTTCCAGTCTGTCCTACACGATATTTGTCACAATTCCGGCAGCAGCTCTTTTAGATCACATTAACCTACTACGAATTTTCTCCATTGATTGGTGTACAATGTTGGTCTAGGACAACGCGGCTCGCTTTTCAACTGTTGCATTGTGGTGCCTTTTGTGATGCTAGGCAGTGTATAAGGAAGCCTTTAGGGTACGAGTTCCGCTTGAGCAAACCGAATAGTTGGTCTTCTTCCGCTCGCCACAGCTGCGGTGTGTAGCAGTGTGTTTGTGCATGTTTGAAAGGAGTTCGAACGCAGCTGCATTTGTAGACTGCCGGGTGATTGCTGTCGTAGTTGAGGATCTGGTCTGTATGCGCTGATTTGCTTTGGACTGTCGTTGTTCTACTCCACCATGGTGAATTGGGTGCCATCGAGCATATTGTTGATTAGTTCGTATCTTCTTTAATTTTGAACGCTTAAGGATGGGAATGTTGGGGTCCACGTACCGTACCCAAAGTTTTGGTCTCCCGATTGGAAGCACTTGCCTCGGCTACCATTCTAGAGATCGGCGATCTCATTGGTATGCCTAGTATCTGCTTGTAAAGTTAACCACTGAAAGTGAAATGTGTTTCTAAACAATACTTTAGCAACTCCATCATCTGTCTGGCGTCGAGTTTACTGCTTTTATCGGACGATGTGTGTTGCGCCAGTAGGCTCGCAATCGTTTGTCTCACCAATTTGATGTCCGACACCGAAACGTCTGCAAACTAACTACGCAACTCGGAGAACAACTCAAAACCCACACCCACACTCCGAGCTACGGATATTTTTAACTACTTCAAATCACTTTGAAAGCAATGCGCTCAAATCTGCTCGCCGATAGGGGACGTTTGCTAGCTGGAAGTCCTCCACTATTGAGCAACTCTATTTCCCCCCTAAATGCTTGCAAAATCACCTTATGCCGCCGAGTTTGCACTACCGTCCTCCGAGCAAACATGCTTTGACTTGGAAGATGACGGAAAAATGTGGATGAAGAGTATTGCAAGTGTTGCTCACAAATGCACAAAATCGGAAGCATAAGTACAAATGGTGCTTGACCAACAGAAGGCAACTTTCATATCAAAACTAAGCTAACAATTGCTTGAAGAATAAAAAAAATGCCGTAGCCATCATACCACACAAGTGGAGCTTCAGCACCAAACGGAAGCTTGAAGTGAAGCTGAATTCGATTTCGCAACCGAAACCAACTAACGAAGATGTGTGGATTACCAACTTATCCAAAAGTAGCTCACCGGACGCAGAAAAAGCCATGATTATCCGAGGTATGAAATTCAATGTTCAAGACTCCCATGCCATCAATTTTATCAATGCAATGGAATCAATGCTAAAATTGAGCCACATCGCGTCTGAAGCACAACAAGACGTTAGAAACAGGGTCATGCCGACTCTCAGTTGAAGCCAACATACTCAACATCACTGAGCGGAAAGCTCTGACGAACAGACAAAGGACGCCTTACTATTCTAATGGGCAAACCTGCTTATATAATGATAGCACAACACCTATTTAGTGATACCAACTCATAACGGATGATGAACAAGGAACCGATGAAACGCTTAGAAGGCAACATCAGATGCACTGTAAAGACTGGAACAATGGGACAAATCACAAAATTGGAACACAAGAGGATGCGACCACAAGATCGGGTACTATGCGATCCTACATTTTGCCGTAAGTACACAGAACTACAAGTTGCAAGCTAACGGTGCAAAGATACCATCTAAGGGATTAGGACTCAACGCCTCTAAGGGTGATTTTAATGCCCCTAAAGTAAATTGGCCGGACCTCAAGTGTGCAGAATCTGCCGTTTTCGCCGCTGAGCTTGTTCATTTAGCATTGGAAGTACCTTTGCACCACTTTGTAGATCAAACCACTACGTTTAATAGACATCAGACCCCGTCCAGCTTTGATCTCGTCTTCTCAAAGTCAGGCGACTGTGTTACGGGCTCATGTCTATGGTCCCCCTAGTAGCCAGTGACCATGTTTGCCTGTCATACAGTGGTGTATTTATTGGGCACTGCAAACGGCTCAGCACCGAAACTCACAACAACTGGCGTTTTTGAACGAACTAGCAAGTGAAATTTCTAGACCCGGCACTTGTCCGTTAGCAATGGCGGTTTAGAGTAATATCCCGCCTAAGAACTGAAAGCAGGCTGTTGCCTGATCCGTCTTTATAAAGAGCGACAATCATTTACCTACGAATCACAGACCTGAGAGTTTAACGAGCGTTCGGGTCAAACTGTTAGAGAAGGTGGTTAGAGATGGACTGGCAAACAATTTTTGAGTCATCTGGTCCGCTCAGTCCGTTGCAACATAGCTTTCGTAAAGGTTGACCAATTTACTGATGTCACGAGAACGGTGGGCGGACCCTGTAGAAAGGGTCATGCTGTGGATGCTATTTTCACAGACTTTGCTAAAGCATTTCACATCGTCCTGCATTCTAGCCTTTCATTGAAGCTGCACTCATACGGAATATCTGAGCAGGTACTTCGATCAGTTAATTGCTCTGTCGCTTGCACAGTTCGTCAAATTGCTAAGCAATATACGAGATCGGTGTTCACCGGCTTGTGGACTTAGTTTCCACCGGTTTCTGAAACCCCTGTCTGTCTAAAAAATTGACTAACCCGTTGAAACCATCTCCCAGCCGAAACAAAACCAGATCCTGTTTTGAAGGTGAATACATCTTTTGTGTTAGTAATCTTTGTTCATCAGTTCGTCATTACCGAAAAAAACTAATCCTTTTTTCTGCTGAGTTCCAGTTTTTGTATTCGTTCCATGTGGAACCACTTATTGAATTCATGATAGACCTGCCGCAAGACAGTCGATCCGAGTCGGACAAACGTAGGGAAGATTTCATGGCAACACTTAACAAGTCACTGACAGACACGCACATGATCGGTTGATGTGCGTGTTATCGTGCCAAAATGTGCCTGCAGTTTGCATTCTTCAACTTCACGCACATCTTCTGCATCGGAATTCCAAACAATTCCCGCTGCATCCGTGCTTTCAATTTTGCTTTTCGTTGCGTGGATATCAACGTTCGCAGTACCAATTTCATCTTCGGTCTCAGCAAGACAGTCAACCTACATTTTTGTCACTTCAGTCATGGAGATAATTCAGATGAATTTACGCTTGGAACTGAACAATCATCCAGACTAAAAATGCGGCCCCCTCATACGTTCCGCACCGGTCGGACCCCCCCCCCCCGCCCCACCTATGGTATGCGTCTGCGTGGATATATGAATGTTAGCACATTGGACATAGATGGCTGTGTCTGCACTGTCGTCTGATAGAAAGTAACTCATCAACCGGTGTGGTTCACATGACTAAGTGTTACACTGACCCAATACCGTGGAAATGTATCGGATTCGATAAACTTTGCATATGCGATTGTCGTACCGTGACACCGAGTTGGTTTTATCGACGCTTGTTGAGCATCCAGTTACCTTAACCAAAGCCGATAACCACATACTCAATGCAAATACGTTACACAAAGAGGGCTCAGAGAAATGTCTCTCTATTAATAATTTTCTCCGGTTTAACACACTGCTTGGAAGTATCTAGGTATATCGGTTCAGATTCGTCGAAAGTCTACCAATGGATCGCAAAGCATTAGATCAGGGCACTCTCCCGAAACATGCTGTGAGTACAGAATCACCTGCATTGAATAACACCGGGGTTCAATGTACAGCAAAGTGTGCGTACCTGATGGAAAAAGATCTCTTCTCCGGACTGTGCGTCAAAAATGAAACCGAAGCGTCTGCGCAGACTGAACCATTTGATTATCCCCCTGTGCACCGTTGTACTTGGAGGAACCGAGTGAAATCCGGGAAACTGCAGGGGGTCCACTTGTCGTTGTCTGCTCATCCACAAGTCCGGCGGCAACATAGCATCGTCTGTAGTGGAAAACGTACTTTAACTGAATAATAGTATCCACAAGAACTATAAAGTTCGAAACGTGTGATACACTTAAGTATGATAAACTCATTTGACCTCCTGGGACTATTGGTCTTCTAATTGTCAACGGCAATTGGGCTCAGAAACAACTCAACTGTTAAGAGTACAATTCGAAGTTAGCAACAGGCATAGTCCAGAGCATAAGAACATTTACAAAATGGAATCCAACCTGGTCCTGGCGCATGAAAGGTCGATAACACGCCTGCTTGTTGTATACTCGATGGAGACCAATAGCCACTAGGCACCGTTTTCCTCTGCAACCGGCTATGATTTGATTGCTTTAGGCTGCAGATGACATGAGGAATAATGCAGTAAGCCAAAAAGTATCAGATGAATTTCACAATTTTTTTTCACTTACCAAGCTGTATTAGTCTGTGAGCAGACAAGTTTCGGTAAATGCAACCGTTTTCATGTTCTACTAAACAATAGTACGATAGTAGCTGATAACAATTCTGAGTAACATGAAACAAGCTGTGTTAGTTGCAACGAGATGCGGTTGGCCCAACTATTGTGGCACGCGTTCATATATTAACAGCAATAGAACAGCTGGGTAGATTGAGAGAAAGAAAAGACAAGTACCTCGTTTGTCGAATGATAAGGTTACAAACGGAAACAGAGAAGCAATTGCAACCTTGTAACTAGTCAAAGTTGGTCCCATCGAAATTTAGGAGGTGTCGAACAGCCAGTAGGTCGGTCGTAGGTCAGGGGCCGGGAGGATGAGACGTCGACCTTGTGACCCGAAGGTCACTGGCTCAAATCTGCAAGTGCGAGGATTAACTCAAAATAATCGTAGCCAACGCGCGACACGGTGATTGAGTAGCCTCGAAGCGCACTGGCATATTGCCCGGGACTTTAGATTGTCCGTTTGTGATGGTACCTGCCAAACCTACAACACCCTACGTAGCTCATTTAAACAATGTATTTCCGCTTCTTCCTTTTTGTCTTTAGATATCGCTATTGTGAATGCTGTGGAGGCTGAAGCCGAACATCACCAAGCTGACTGAACATGTTACTGGATCTGTACAATAACTTTTCTTCTCTATTTATGTTTGTAGTGACCTTGAACTTCCGTCTTTCGTGTACCGTTCGTCGCAATACACTGTGTCCGGCCTCCCTCTCGTCTTCTCCTTTGCGCCATGATCCTTGTGTATTTGTTGTGTCCGTCCATCTTGCACCCATAAGCCTCCCCTTTGTTGCTCGTTTTTCAGACCGACCGTACTGAAGGAAGGACGTTACAGTTGCCGTTCTCACCGAAACAGCGTGTTTTGTTCTATCTGCTGTGAACATAACCATTTTGTATAACTATGCGGACGAATTTTCTGGAAGAATAATTTCCAAGAAAACTGAGACCGTTTAACCGCTGATTCTTTGAAAATGTTCTCCGAGACAGTGGACACAACTCGCAGTTTGTTACTTTCGTCAACATGAAACCAGTTGTCAAGAAACGTTTTGATAAGAATTAATCTGATCAACAGGATAAAAATCTCTGTACTTATCTCAAAAAATATGTGCTCGTTTTTAAAGTTGCAGGACTGTTTACTCAAGTGACACCTGCGCATTATTTCTTGTTTGCTTTTTCTATGTGTAAAATTGGTCATATCTAATGATGCTGCTTTAGTTCATCTGTAGTAACTAGTAGCAATTGCTGCATATGCACCCATTTGTGTGTCTCATGCCGAAGTTGATGTTGTATTCATGATGCTTCTTCACCGCAGTTGGGCTAAACCAACTTACACGTAACCAATGTCTTTTAATCTGGATAAAAGTCATGCCACTTTATTTGGTTTATTCACTTCTGTTATTACACTGTATATGCTGTGTCAATTTTGCGTGTTTGCTTTCCCTTAAATTCTTTGTTGGTTGTTTGATATCCCCGAAGTGGCTGCGTTTGGTGTGAATGTTGACAAGGTGCGTACTTGTCTAACATCCTGCAACTCGATTACTGGTTCCAGAAGACTGAATCATTGCTGGGGGGACGGGATGCACGGTCTTCGTGGCCGTGCTAACCTCGTAGAGTGGTTCCATGCACTCAGTTTGGAGCGGACTACGGTCCGGCCACCAACTTGTGTACGCGTGGCTGTCCTGTGGAGGCCGCAGTGACAGGCAAACCCGGAACCGATTGCCGCCAACGATATACGCGCATTCGGGAACACAAAGCTTATCCTGACTTGACTGGACTTGGCATTTTCTCTTTAGTTAGGTGGAACATCCTCAACTAGATGCGGTGATTGTGTTGGTAATCGGTGCACTTATGTACTAACGACCCTATGGGATTGGGACACTGGTAAATCTATTGCTCAGGCTGGCGTCGGTAATGTGAAACCATCACTAGAGCACAGGCGAATCCGATGGACTCATACGGGAATACTGTCCCAGTGGTACTAGGACAACGACTTTGATTGGCGGAGTGGTGCTTAACGAACCAAGGAATCAGTCATAACCTGCGGTAGCAATAAAGCAGCATAGTTCGTTTCACATCATACATGAAGTGTCGTTTCACATTAATGTTGCAAAGCTACGCAACACCCAGGGCATGCGCTGCTGACTATAGAGTGTCTGACGGCTGAGCTGGTTGAACAGCTAAATCTCATTGGAGATGATTATATGCGCTAATTCCACTGAGTACTTCTACCCATTTCGACACATTTACACCCCGGTTTATGCACAGACTGCAGTTTTCCAAACCGGGTAGTGAGTTGGCTAACAACACAAGCTGATGTAACCTGAAGACAAGCAGATAGGGGATGTGAGATAACTTGTGTGGGCGGTTCAAATTCCTCAGATGGTCCAGTAACGTACCGAAGCTTTCGATATACCAAACCGCAATCGGTGAGCATCCGCATGGTTTACCCATTACTCATGCGATCTACAATTATTGGTTCGAAGGGATCAATGGGAGAGGGAGATCAATCCCATCATAGCGTCTGCGCACACAGGGCCCATTTTGTTGTGGATACAGTAGCAATGACCGCAACGCAGTACCGTACGCTTTACCTTCGGCTGAGAGACTGCGGTTTCCAAGTTTTGACTGTTTCAGCTTCACCAATGAAGTGGAACACCGCACAAAATGGCTGGCCAGATAAACAGTTCATTCGTCCATCCATTTCACACATTGACTAGGGGTGATTAACCCCTCAGCTATCGTGGCACATTACAATTCAAAGGGTTTACAGCAAAAAAGAAAGAAAAACAATCAAAATATAAACAAAAGAAAAATATATACATGTTTCGTTCTAGAATATGCATTGACGACGAGCTTTTTGGTTGGAGGAGCACATAAGAAATATCTTCACAACACAGGAGCCATCGAGATCCGTTCATCGCCGTGTCACCTAGTGCACCCAGCCAAAAATGTGCGTCTTTCGCACCCCATCCATTTCATAACATGACTATCGTCGAAGTCCATCTTTTCTCGTCATCACTAATCAATGTTTCGCGGAAGTACCATTGAATGGAAATCCATTCGTAAACATTACTGCCTTGTCTCCTGGAAAGCAACTTGTACTGTAGCGTCAAAGCATATAGCTAGACAGTGTACAAGTCATGTACTCAACACAGTCAAACAGAGTGTACCGAAGAGGCTACAAAGGTGAAAAGTATATCGCTGTCCGATTACAAAGGAAGATGTCATTCCCTTAAGACGCTGAGGTAAAGCAATTAATAGGTAAGTTCAAGTAACCATACGCATTGAGGCTACACAAGAACACTTGTTGTAACACATGCAAATGTGGAACAATGGCGTAATACGGATAAAAGTGCCAAGACCTGACAAGTCTCGTGGGATGGTTTGTGCAACTACGTAGCTTCAAGAAACTATTCTGCACAAAAGTGAAACGTGAATCTGTGAATACACCATAATATTCACTTTAACACACACACTTTAAATCGGTTGACTAAGATTTCGTGGATTTGGTGGGCACAATATTTGTCCGCGTCTTGTCGCTCCTCGAAGGAAAGCATTCAAATCAAGTAATGCAGATGGTGTGATGCATCGTCAAGTTGATTTTTTGTGGGTAGCGTTGGCACAGAAATGACAAATGTCGAAAGGGCGTTCCACAGTGGACAAATTCGAAGGGGGAGATTACTTCCGTCGACATTGCGGCCGACTGTACTGGGTAGCCATTTTCAGCTTGCGACTCTTCGGTTTTGGGTTGCGGCTAAGTTTCAGGAGTTGGCGGCAAACGTGACTGGGGTATTCTAAGATCTGATACTTCAGAGTGGGCTCACCCCGCAGACGGCGATATATCCTACTAAACGCTTTTAAGGTTTTCGACTTCAGAGCACATAGCAAGTGAACCAATAACTTCAACTTTTTGTTTGACCTTCGCCCTGGAGACTACAGTGCAATCAGATCGCCTTTTAGCCAGGGTTGCCAAAACTGAATCGTCTACACTACATGGGGGTCTTACATTTGCGTTGAGCATTTGAGGAAAGTTGGAGGTGTTCGATCTTCAAAACGCCTTCCTTAAGAGACCTACATGTTGGTTCGCGGTTTCTGGCACAATCAAGGACTGCGCTGAACAGCCGTGATCGTCTTGCATCACCAACTCAAGGTCGCGCTCCAGTGAGGCAGTCATCAAAATGTGGTCTCCAAGCTCATATGCATTAGTGGGCTTGTGGAGTACATGTGCACGCTTGCACCTGTCCATTTAAAAGCACGGTGTAAGTCTAGTTGCAGCATATAGGGGTCTTCCTGACTACCGATCTCCCGCTATATAGATGTCATCGGTATGAAGCAAGAAATTCAAATCGATGAGAGGCATAAGGTCATTAATGAAGGCTGGGAATAAGCGTGGCCCCAGCACTGACCCTTGTCGAACACCGTATTCCACGTCAGTAGGATTAGCGAATGAGCCTTGAACCCGAACCTGAAGCCGCCGCTGAAGTAGCAGATTTCCGATCCAGGCAAAGATATGTTTCCCAATTCTGTATTTTAGCA